GTTTTGTGTACGTTCGCTTACGTCGCTATTGTTTATTGGTCAAAAGATGTTGCACTGCAATTAAAGAATCTTGAAATCATAGAAGCAAATTTGAGTGTCTTATTTTGCGTTCTACATACCAAGGCCATCAGCTGAACGATTATTGGATGAAAGGTCCAGATTTACTAAACAACTTGTTCAGAGTAACACTGAAGTTTCGAGAAAAGGCAGTTGCATTCATGGGAGACATCTCAAAGATGTACTGTACCACCGAATTTTGATCCCGGAGCAGGACCAGCATGTTCATAGATGCTTATGGAGAGATATGGATGTGAGTCGGAAGCCAGATATATATGTAAAAACCGTACTAACATTTGGTGACAAACCAGCTCCAGCAATTGCTCAGATAGCACTACGAAAAACAGCAGAGGAAGCATCAGCCACCTATCCGGAAGCGGCGAAAATCCTAACAGAAAGTACCTACATGGATGATATCTGCAACTCTGTAGACACTAAAGCTGACGCAGTGAAGATGACGAGTGAGATAGACAAGATCCTTGCAAGTGGCGGTTTTAATGTAAAAGGGTGGTTGTCCAACAAAAGCTTAAACAATACTACATCGGATGTAGTGATAAAGGTAGATGTACCACAGATGGTAACGGAAGAAAAGGTGTTGGGGACAGTTTGGCAACCACAGAATGATGTCCTCTCCTACAAAGTAAACAGCATTGGTGATCAGAAGAATAAAATGACTAAGAGAAGAATTTTGAGCACAATCGCACGAATATTTGATTCTATAGGGTTCTCTGCAGCATTTCTGATCCGAGCCAAAATAGGAATGCAACGGTTGTGGCAGCAAGGTTTAGAGTGGGATCAGGAGGTAACAACTGCTGAACACGAAACCTGGATGAACCTCTTCAAGGAAATGGAGGAGTTAAATCACATCACTTTCCCGAGATGTCTAACCCCACCAGAGGCAATTGGAAACTCGACCCTATGCATATTTTCTGATGCTTCAGAAAATGCCTTCGGAGCCGTTGCCTACATCAGATGGGCAAATGGAGATAGTACATATGGGGTCAGATTTATAGCTCCAAAGTCCAGAGTAGCCCCGTTGAAAAAATTGTCAATACCAAGGCTCGAATTACAGGCTGCTGTTATTGCTACACGACTATATCCAAAGTTCATATGCAAAGAAACGAGACTGCGAATAGAAACCGCTGTGTTTTTTACCGATAGCACCATTGTCCTGTCCTGGATCCGGAACCAATCAGGAGTTTTCAAGACATTCATTTCCAACAGGGTTGGAGAAATACAAAGTGATTCGGATATATCACAATGGAGACATGTCCCAGGGGAAATGAATGTCGCCGACGATGTATCCCGTTGAATACACATCAAGCAGCTGTCTCAAAGATGGAAACACGGGCCAGAATTCCTGTATCAACCAGAAAAGGATTGGCCAACAGAAGCATCACATGTTAACCAAGTTGAGGTTGACAATGAACGACGGAAGACACAATCAGTTCTTGCAGCAGGTGTGATGCCCGAAATTATTAATTGTGAGAAGTTCTCTAGCTGGAGGAGATTGGTAAGAACCACCGCATACGTACTGAGAATTGTCTAGATCCTCAAGAACAAAGGACAGAATGGTGAGCCAGCCAGGACGGGCCCACTTTCACCACCAGAACTACAAGAAGCCGAAGAATATTGGATTAAGTAATATAAGAGAACAGAAGGAAGAATTCAAGACCTTGACTCCATTAAAGGATGATAGAGGGATAATCAGAGTAGGAGGTAGAATTGACAATTCGATTCTGTCATATAACATGCGACACCCAGCTCTACTTCCAACTGGACATCACATATCCAAACTTATCATACGGTTCACCCACCAGCAAGGACACAATGGAGTAGCTACTACAGTGGCGAAGACTAGACAACAATATTGGATTTTGAAGGCACATACTCTCGCCAAAATGGGAAAATATCGATGTGTAGTTTGCAGAATTATGGCCCACCAAGTTGAGTCACAGATTATGGCCGATTTACCAATGCATCGATTAGCCCCATACACTCCGCCATTTCACCACACGTCTTGTGATTATTTTGGACCGTTCCAAGTGAAGATCGGAAGAAACAAAACAACCAAACATTACGGGGTAATCTTCACTTGCCTAAACACAAGAGCTGTCCATCTGGAATTAGCCGTGGACTGTTCTACCATGGAATTCATCCAAGTATTACGAAGATTGTTTGCGATTCGAGGCTACCCGGCAATGTTGATAAGTGATAATGGTACTCAACTAGTCGGAGCGGAACGAGAGCTCAAAGAGATGATTAAAGGATGGGACATTGATGAGCTAAGGCAATTTGGCGCAGAAAAGTGTATGAAGTGGAAGTTTGTAACACCAGCAGCACCGCATCATAACGGGTGTGCGGAATCGCTAGTTAAAAGTTGCAAGACAGCACTTAAAATAGCAATCGGAGCACGGATATTGACACCTTTTGAACTATACACTGTTATACTTGAAGTTGCTAACTTAGTGAATCAGCGACCAATTGGCCGACTTCCCACAGATCCTGACGATGGCAAGTATTTATGCCCCAATGATGTATTGCTTGGGAGAGCGTCATCGCATGTTCCCCAAGGCCCGTTTAGGGAAACCAGTAACCCTAGACATAGAGTAGAATTTGTACAGAAGATAATCAATTCCTTTTGGAAAAGATGGAGTCTTTACCACAATTAGTACCGCGGAAAAAATGGACAATAGATAGACGTAATGTTTGTCTTAATGATAGTAATTGTATCTGATCCAAATGCAGTACGTGGAAAATGGTCCATTGGACGAATAACTAATGTGTTCCCAGGACCAGATAATAAGGTTAGAAACATAGAAGTTAAAACTAGTGATGGTAAATACCGCAGACCTATAACTAAAATTGCAGTGATATACCCAGTAGAAGGTTATGAGGAATAGTTCCTCATCGGGGTGGAGGATGTTATGCTGTGCTGTGTAAAGTCTATAATACTGTATTCCTATTTTTCTCCCTTTGAAATTCAGAATAAAATTAAATTAACCTTAAGTAGATGCAGGCACCTAAAATTTTTGAGTCTGTTAGTAGGCCTTGTCACATAAGACACCTCGTTGAGGCTAGCTCAGCACAATATATTCAGGAAGGTCTATTGGGGTCACTTTGGGTGGGTTATACACATGTTTTTCAGTTTTTTCAGTCAGTCGGAAAGTAACAGTACGTACAGTTGGATTATTATAGTCTCAGTGAATTCAGT